TTTAAAAAATTGACCTCATTTCCCCATTGTACTTTACAATTTTGTTTCTTTTGCCTTTAGTTGATTTCCATAGCACTGAAATGGTTGGTTTGAAGATTTTTTCTGCTATTTTTTTTTCTTCCTTGGGGACCAGGTTTGCCAACCTCCTCAATCTGTCATGCCAGAAGCAGCCTTATCCTTTGTTGCTATTTTATGTGGATAAAAATTGTTTTTACTTACATTTTGCTGTCTTATATCATAGACCTTCTTTCTAGGGTTTTTTTCTTTCTTCATGAAATGCACCCTTTAGAAGATCCTTTAGTAAAAGTCCTTTAGCATTTATTTATCTAAAGATGTCTTGTTTCAACCTTACTCTTGAAGAATACCTTTGCTACATATACTATTCTAGGATGACAGTTACTTTCTTTTAGGCCTTTGAAAATATTTCACTGTCTATGGCTTCTATTGTTGCTATTAAATAATAAAATATGTCTAGTGATGATAGAGTATTCATGTGCCATCTTTGCATGGTGAGCACTTATATGTATCACTTCATTTAACCCTGATAACAAATGTATTACAATATACCATTATTATTCTCATTTCTCCTAATGGAGGAATAGAGACACAGACAAGTTAAGGATACAAAATAAGTAAGGAAGGCAGGATTTCACCCCAGGAGCTCTGACTCTAGAACCTAGGTTTTTAAACAACCACCATATACAAGCAAATACTTAAAGAGAATGAGATAATAATATTGTAATAACTATATATGGTGCCAAGTGGGTACTTGAAATATTGGGGGAACTACTTTGCAAAGTATATGATTGCCTAACCACTATGCTATACACCTCAAACTGATACAAAATATTTTAAAAATATATAAAAAATAGGATGAAAGATAAATAACATTATTAAATTATAAAGTTATTTAAAAACTTTAGTAATTACAACAGAGAGACTTTTTTCTGGGTAGAAAGATTAGTAGAATAATCATCACTGTTAGACTATCATTACCCCACAGGGTCAACATGCTCTGCCTGTTGCTCATCTACAAGGTGAGAATAATTGTACTAACTGCCTCATAGGTGGTTGTGAAGGATAAGTCACCACACACACACACACACACACACACACACACACACACAAAAGTGAAAAAGTATTTGTTGTTATTAGCACAGAAACTAACCTGACTATACATCAGAATATAGTATCTGATTACAGGTGATGAGAGAAAGGATGGACTAGTAAATAAATGGTAGTTGTGTGAATTATATGCAAAACAGAAATTTTGATCTATCTTTCTGAAAAATCTACATCCAAATAGTAAAAAATAATACCAGCTATAGAGCTTAATTATTGTCTAAATTCGTGATATCATTAGAACAAAATTTTGATTAATAGTTAAAATGCATGTAGAGAAGGCTGTAATAAGCATACCATCAAAGGTATAAATTATAAATAAAAAGATGGAAAGACCTGATCACATTTAAAATTTCATGGTGGAGGAACTGAGCAAAAAAGAGAGAAAGAGAGCGGGAAGTCATGGACATGGACAACAGTGTGGTGATGGTTTGTGGAGGAAGGAGAGGGGTTAAAGTAGAAGAGGCATAGAGGGGATAAATGGTGTTGGGAAAATATTGTAATTTCTTTTGTAAAAACAAACACTGTAAATGATTAATGGCACAATATACTACAGTAGGGAAATCTTCTGTAACATATATATCTGAAAGTTAATAATCTTAATTTGTAAAGAGCTCTTATGAAATAATAAAGAAAAGGACCATAAAATAGAAAAATTAACCAAATAACATACAATCTTCCAGAAGGAATTATAAATAGACATGGGAAAAAATGCTGTTTCACCAGTAATAAAAAAATACACAAAAAAATCAGATACCAATTTTCACTTGTGAATTTAATGTGATTTAAAAAGGTAGTTCATCAAGGACAAATATAATAATACATTAATAACCACAATGGGAGGAAATAATTACAAAGTATTTTGTTGGATCCGAAGAAAGTGACCTCATCTGCATCGTGATAGCAAGATGTGGTGGTTTGAGACGGTCTTTGAAGTATAGGCATAATATGGACAAGAAGTGAGAGGTTTGGCAATGGGGTGGAGGAAGAACAATAAATAACCATAGTTTGGGTTTTGTCATGACTAAGGAATGAGGTTTTAAAAACAGTCCTGAGAATTCTTGAAGACAGGAAGGGACCAGTGGAGAAGGAGAAATGGAAGCTGTTAGTAGAGAGATGTAAAGTTGAAGCAATAGGTCCATAGAAAGATTAGAAACAGGAAGTACAGGTACTTCAGAAGTAGATGGAAAAAAACAAGTAAAAGTATAAAGATTTTTAAATGGAGAGGAAAGATAGGAAAGCTAAAATTGTTCTCTCTGGATAGCATTAATCTTAGTGAGGGAGTGACTGGTAAGAGATTGAGTGCTTGTGGGACTAGGAGAATAAAAAAAGGTTTGTAAAAGCTGCTTTGGGATAATGGAGTGGACCAATAGGCAATGAAAACAAATATTGCAGGTTAAGGTCCTGGCTGAGACTCCATAGCATGGAATTATGTGCCGTCTAAGTGGAGTGAGGGGTTTATTCAGAATGAGGGAAAATGAGGGGAAACTGTCTTTGGTATACAGAGGTGAAGCAAGATGCAATGAATTAAGAGGAAAGGAAGGACCAGAATGAGGATATTATGTGCTGAAGGAAGAGTGGAAGAGATGGAAGACAGGACTAGGGACAGAGAGAAGAGTATTTTAGAATTTAAGATCTTGGCAATAGAACTTTTAGACCATTTGCTTCTTCCTCTTAATTCATATTTTATTAGCTGATCTTTGCTCATATGGGCATGTTCTAATTATTTTTATTTGGATAAAAAATTTTTACCATGAAAGTATTATTATTTTTTAATTATATAAGTTTCAGATGTACAACATTGTAATTTGACATCTGTATGTATTACAAAGTGATCACCTCCAAAAATCTAGTGACCATCCATCACAGTGTACTTGCCACCCTTCACCCCTTTCACCCACATCCCAACCCCCTTCCCCTCGGGTAAGCACCTGTCCTCTTTACCTATGAGTTTGTTTTTGTTTATTTTTTAAGACTCACATATGAGTGAAATCATATGGTATTTGTCTTTCTCCTTCTGACTTAGCATTATATCCTTAAGGTGCATCCATGTTGTCACAAATAGCAAGATTTTATTCTGTTGAATTCTGTTATATCCCACTATATTTATATCACATCATCTTTATCCATTCCTTCATTGATGAGTACTTAGGTTGTCTAATTTCCATATCTTGCCTATTTAAATAATGCTGCAATGAATATAGACGGTATATATCTTTTTAATTAGAGTTTTTATATTCTTCAGATAAATATTCAGAAGTGGAATAACTGAATCATATGGTTGTTCTGTTCTTATATTTTTGAGGAGTCATACCATTTTTCTTAGTGGCTACATAAATTTACAATCCCACCAGCACAAGGCTTCTCTTTTCTCCACGTTTTCTGCAGAACTTGTTGTTTTTTGTCTTTTTGATGATAGCCATTCCTACAGGTGTGAATGAAATCTCATTGTGGTTTTGGTTTGCCTTTCCCTAATAATAATTAGTGATGTTGAACATGTTTGTTTTCAATTGCCATTTCTTTTGAAGACCTAATGAATGGTTGTAATATAGTTACAAAATGATAGTATATGTTTGTTTAACAGTTAACTGGTGGCTGCTTTAGAGACCACTGCTAAGTGAATTGATAAGTGACTTTGAGACACTGATCTACAAAGCTTATGTTTGTAGCATCAAAGACACTGTATCATTATGCATTCTATCTTCAAGTAAGGGTTATAGCACATTACAATTAGACAGTTTATATTTCCTTTCTGAATCTCTCCAGATGTTCACTTCTCATGAATACTCAAAAAGAACTTTAATACAAAAATGAAGAAAACAAAGTTGAAATTATGTAGGATCATACGAATAAAGGATTGTACAAATAAAGGGTCAGACAAGTCAGTTAATTTCAGAAGTAAAAATCCATCCTGTATACTTCAAAGCTCAAAACCTTTCAGTGTTTGGCCATGAATAGAGAGTAAAAACCAGAATCCTAGGCTAGAATGTTAAGGTTTCCAACATAAAATTCTGACCTTATCTTTCACTACACCCTATGTGTATCACCACATTATAGCCAAATAAGGCTTGACATCTTTGGAACAATTTTTCCCCCAACTTTCACCTTGATTCTTTTGCTTCTGCTATATACTCAGCTTGTAAAACCCCACATCTCAACTTTTGAAATCATAACTATTCATTAAAACTCAGTTCATTTGTTACACAGTCTGTGACTCCAGCCTGAAGTGATACCTGTTCTCTTATCATCTATAATTCCTATGTATACCACTTTTACATTACTTTTCATGCTCTTCTTATTTATTTAAAAATACTTTAGTTTCCACTAAATTTTAAATTCCCTGATGGAAGGGACCACATTTTTATTATCTTTGTATTATTTCACAGTACCAATGTAATGCTTTTTCAGTCGTAAGTATGCACTAAATATTTGCTGAACAGGCATTGGATGATACTAAGTAGCAAGGTAGGACCTTTAAAAAAATAATGTTTTTCCTTTTCTTTAGGCTACTTTTAAACTAGAGGCCTAGTGCACAGATTTGTGCACCAGTGGGGTCCCTTGGCCTGGCCTGCGGGGATCGAGCCAAAACCAGCTCTCCGACATCCCCCAAGGGGTCCCGGATTGCAAGAGGGTGGTTCTCGGGTGACACACCCCGGAATCGGGCTCCCTCCTCTCTGGTTTCGGGTGAGTCACCCGAGAACCACAGCTGCGAAGTCACCATAGCTCGGCAGCTCCTGTGTTGAGCGTCTGCCCCCTGGTGGTCAGTGCATGTCATAGTTACTGGGCAGCTGGTCGAACGGTCGGCCGGTCGCTTAGGCTTTTATATATATAGATGTTATTTCATTAACCTCTTCTAACATAAATGTTTTGTCCCATAGGTATGGCATGGATTGCCTTATTCAATTTGAAGATTTTGGCAATGTAAATGCATTTCGTCTCCTGAACAAATATCGAAACCAGTATTGCACATTCAACGATGATATTCAAGGTAATAAAATTTTCACTGCATGTGGACAAGAATAGTATCTGCTAATGGTTGCCAGAGTGGAGGAGGTTGGGGGAAATGGGGGAAAAGAGTGAAAGAGTATAAGACAGCCGTGGGCAAACTACGGCCCGTGGGCCGGATCCGGCCTGTTTGAAATGAATAAAACTAAAAAAAAAAAGACCGTACCCTTTTATGTAATGATGTTTACTTTGAATTTATATTATTTCACACAAACACTCCATCCATGCTTTTGTTCCGGCCCTCCGGTCCAGTTTAAGAACCCATTGTGGCCCTCGAGTCAAAAAGTTTGCCCACCCCTGGTATAAGAGATACAAACTCCCAGTTATAAAAGAAATAAGACATGGTATTATAATCAGTAATATCATAACTTTCTATGGTGACAGATGGTTACTAGGCTTATTGTGGTGACCACATTATAAGTTATATAATGTGGAATCACTATGTTGTACACCTGAAACGAGTATAATATTGTATGCCAATTATATGCTATTTTTTTTAAAAAAAGAATATCTACTGAATGCCAGGAATTATGCTTGATGACTTCATATATTATTTCTTATTTACTTTCTTATACTCTATTTAAGAAAAGTATTCTGTGACACTAGATGTACCATATAATCCATGAGCTAGAGAATGAGCTCCCCAAAATCTGATAAAATCCCATGATTACAGCTAACAAGAAAGCAAAATGAAAATATATTGTTCATTGTTTAAAAATAAGACTGCATATACTTTTCTCTTTAGCTATTATCTCAATCATCCACAGTTTCTAAGCTTCATCCCAATATAAGCTGCCTTTATGTATAGTGCATTGATTTTTACTATTTGTTTTTTGATAGAGTATATTTCCTGGGCTACCTGCTTTTGTCTATGTTAACCTGTGTTTGTTTATTTCTTTTCTTTTTAAACCCTGAAAGACAGCCCTAGAAAGAATGCTGAAAGTGATTTGACTAGGCTTGGGCGGGGGGTGGTTTGATAAATTTTTAAAAAATATTTTTTATTTATTTCAGAGAGGAAGGGAGAGAGAGAGACAGATAAAAACATCAATGATGAGAGAGAATCATTGATCAACTACCTCCTGCACACCCCCTCTGCTGGGGACCTGGTAAACCCAGGCTCCTGCCCAGACCAGGAATCTAGGTCAACACTCAACCACTGAGTTCAACCTCTTAGCCTTTTGGGCTGGGCTGTGATTGTTTTGTGAGCACTTTCACACCTAGCAACATTAGCTTTCAACCTCTTAGCCTTTTGGGCTGGGCTGTGATTGTTGTTTTGTGAGCACTTTCACACCTAGCAACATTAGCGCTCTTGATGGCCTTTATGTTTCAAAATTATGCTAATTGTCGATTTCTGCCAGCAACAAAAACATTATCTTCTTTGTTGCCTGAGAGACACTTTTTGTCAAGCTGAGGTGTCAGCAAGAAAGGGTTGTCAAGTCGAAAGCCTAAATTTTATTCCCCAACCCAGACCTTTTTACTGTGAACAACTTGGTAGACAACCGAACTGTTTGAAATGGGAGACTGTACTAGTATTTGGAGAAATTCAGAAAGGAAATATAAGCCGTCTAATTTTAATGACTGTAATCCTTGCCTGAAGATATAATGTAAAATGATAAAGTGTCTTTGATGCTACAAACATAAGCTTTGTAGATCAGTGTCTCAAAGTCACTTATCAATTCACTTTGCAGTAGTCTCTAAAATAGCCACCAGTTAACTGTTGAACAAACCTATACTGTCCTTTTAAACATATTCTATATCTTTTAACTTGTGGGTCCCACAGAAATGTCCATATAGAAGTTAAAGACCAGTATTACATAATTTTGAATCCTACAGAATTAATAGGCATCAAAGTTCAGTTTAAGAAGAAGAATGCTAAATCCCAATCATCAAACAAAATGAACAGTTAGGAATTGGGGTCAGAATTCCTGTCAACTAAGGTAAAGAATTTAGAGGTCAAGGCCTGGCCTGCATCACAATTAAAGTCAGGAGCCCAGGAAATCTGAGACAGTGCCAAGCCAGGGCCAAGAGCACTGCCTGTGGAGATTCCCTGAGGGGCTGCCTCAGAATATTCTCTGCTGCAGGTCAGCCATGGAGGCATTCCATACTGCTTTTTCATCCCCACTAATCTGCCCTAAAATGTAATCTACATCCATTTTGTCTACCTATTGTCACATAGGAGTTTTAGAATATGACTGCCTTAGCCTCAAAATGAATGATTTGAGAAAAATAGATCTAATCTCTGACAAAAGAAAACTTGTGGCCACTTATTAGGTTTCTGACTAGAAATGAACAAACCATTTTTCCATACCAAATAGTGTCCTTAGTGACACATTTCCCACATATGTTTCTATTTTACCTTTTTAACCTTATGTTTTTACCATTTTGCCCACAAATGTAATACTTTCCCCACTGTGGGCATGGGAATTGCCTTCCAGTGCCAACAAAAAGAATTATGTAACTATTACAGCCTCACCATGTAAATAAATGTTTTTACACTGAACCCATGGGGAATTTTTTAAAACAGATGTGTGATTTAAAGATATTATTTTATGAAAATATTTGATTTTTAAAAATATTTAAAATTCTACTATATTAGTGATCTAAAATAATCATAAATGATAGAGATTTTGGTTCAAAATGTATTTAGTCCTTAATGCATTCTAATTATAAATTATTTTTAACTGAAAAAAAATGTGCGGGTTAAATATATTAAGCATTTAATTATATAACCTGCAGACCATCAAATTTTTGCAAATGCACCCAAAGAGTTGGTCTTATTCTCTTGTCATTTTAAAATCAGCTATAAAAAGAGATTTTTCTTCTCATAGTAGCCTCTTTGGCTCCTAGTTTGATTGTTAGGATTTTTAAAATAAGGTAAATGTTGCCTAATCTTATACTGAATGCATTGATAATTGAAAAGATAAAAGTCAGAAACGGTCAAACAGACATTTCATAAAAGAATGAATATGTTGGCTGGAAAATGCATTTTAAAGTTTAACTACACCACTAAGTTTTAAAAAGCGTATTAAACAGCAAATGAGAAACTGCTTTTCTCTATCAAGCTGACAAAGGTTTTTATCATTCCAACTGTTAATAATGTTTTAAAGAAAATGAGCATTCTCATTCATTGAAGGTGGAAATATAAATTGGTAGAACTCTTGGAGAGGCAACATGTGTCAAAAACCTTGAAAATGTGCAGATCTTTGACCCAATAATTCTATTTTTAGCAACTTATCCTGAGCAAGTAAAAATGCAAAACAAATGTACAAAGATATTTATTTATTTTAAATATTTATTTATTTTTAAAATTGAGATACAATTGACATGGAATATTGAATTGGTTTTAGTGTACAACATAATGATTTGATATATGTACATACTGCAAAATGATTACCACAATAGGTTTAATTAACATCCATCACTTCACATAGTTACAAATTTTTTTTGTGATGAGAATATTTATTCTCTTAGCAACTTTCAAATATATAATGCAGTATTGTTAACTATAGTCACCATGATGTATATTATACCCCTAGGACTTATTTGTCATATAACTGGAGGTTTGTACCTTTTGACTCCTTTCACCCATTTTGTTCACCCCTCACCCCCAGCCTCTAGCAACCACCAATCTGTTCTCTGTATCCCTGATTTTGGGTTTTTGTTTTAGATTCAACATATAAGTGAGATCATACAGTATTTGTCTTTTTCTGCCTGACTTATTTCAGTTAGCATAATGCTCTCAAGGTTCATCCCTGTTGTCACAATGTAGGATTTCCTTCTCTTTTGTGGCTGAATAATATTCCGTTGTCACATACCACATTTTCCTTATCTATTCATCCATCGGTGGACACTTAGGTTGTGTCCATGTCTTGGAAATTGTAAGTAATGCTGCAGTTAACAAGGGGGTGGCAGTTATTTTTTTTGAGATAGTAACTTCATTTTCTTCAGATAAATATCCAGAAGTGGAATTGCTGGATTATATGGTAGTTCTATTGTTAATTTTTCAAGAAACTTTCATACTGTTTTCCATAGTGGCTCCACCAATTTACATTTACACCAACAGTACCCAAGGGTTCTCTTTTCTCCACATCCACGCCACTATTGGTTATCTCTTGCCATTCTTACAGTGTGAGGTGATATCTCATTGTGATTTTTATTCACATTTCCTTGATGATCAGTGATGTTGAGCATGTTCATAAACCTATTGGCCACTAGTATGTTTTCTTTGGAAAAAATGCCTGTTATGTATATTTATTGTAATGTTATTTTCTGTAAGAAATTAGAATCATCTACATATTCAGAAATAGTGGTTTGGTTAAATAAGTTATCATATATCTATACTATGAAATATTATAACTATAAAATATTTTAAAATACATTATTGACATGGTAAGATAGTCATATTTTTAAGTGATGAAAATATGTTAAAATAGTAAGCATGGCATGAGATATTTTTTATCATTAAAAAGTTTTTGAATTTGCATATATTAGCTATAGAAAACAATTATAAGAATATACATCAAAGATTTAAATGAACTTCTAATTTGTCTACATACTACCAGCCTCGAAACTCTCCAATCAATTCCCTCCACTGCTCTCTGAATTTAGAATCTTTCAGCAACCATCTGTTACCTATAATAAATCATGACATACAGTCCTATACATATCTATAGCTACTATGATTTTGTAGTAGAAGGCACTGTATGATCTCATCCTGACACTTCACTAGCCTCATATCACTTTACATTCCAATAAGCTGTGTTTGCTTCAGCAACACTGTAATACCTACAGTGTCACATATGTTCTATGTTTCCTCTCCTCTTACATTTTGGGAGGCTCAGTATACAAATGGAGCTCGTATTGTAGGTCTTTACCATAAGGTGACTTGATTGAGCCATTTCCTTAAGGAATCCTTATCAGTCTGGTGTGTGTTTTTTCTCTTAACACTGCTCAGATTCCACAGAAATTATTTTTCCAATTTCTCTTCTGATACTTGCTGGTATTAGCTTTCTGCCAGTGTTCTTTGAGCCACATAGGAGAAGACTGGGGGTCTCCATATTGAGTATGCAAACTTTCATTTAATCTTCTGTTTACAACTATGGCATCATTGCACCCAGTTATTCCTCGTGTCTAACAATTACTCCTGATGTCGTACAGTCCAGAGACCCTCTCTAGAAAATAAGCTTTTAATTTTTTCTAAGTCTCCATCGTGTGGGAAGGCCAGTGGTCTGCTAGAAGGAGAGGGAAGTGAATCTGGGGTCTGACTACTTCTTAGATTTTTCACTAGCCTCCTGTTTTTAGTATCTTTTTCACCCCCACTTCCAGAGGTACTTGGTGCCTCCTTTATCTAGGCCTTTTGAGACTTTTGCCATATCAGTCTGATTGCTTCTTAGAATTCCCCATGACTGGCCAGGAATTCAGCTTTTCAAGTCTGCTATGTCAGTTGCCATTTGCCTATCTGCCTTCCAGCTTCTAAATGTGATTGCTATCCTCTTCTCCTGATCTCTTTGATTAAAAATAAAAACCTTCTTTCTATTGGTTTAGTAGAGTTTGTTGGGGAGAAGGAAAACTATGTTATATGTTCAGTCTCTCATTTTTCACACGTATCCCTCCTTCCATGCCTTGCTCATGCTCTCCTGTATAGTTTATTCTGCCACCTGAGGTGCTGGACCTCTCTCTCACATTAACCCTTCAGTGCTGTGCTCAGGTGGTATGTTCTCTAAATGCCATGGCCTGTGCCTAAACAAATTCACTCCTCCTCCCCCTGTTCTAATCCTTGTACTTTGCCTGATCTATGTAATAGTACATGAGGATTACAATTATTAGATTACATGTCAGTCTCCTTTAGTGGTTATATATAGTAATTATAATCAGATGATTAAATTATTGTTTCAGTAGAGGTCATACTTTGATAAAAGATAGGACCGACATTTTTTTTTTTTAATTAAATCTTTATTTTTCAAGTTACAAAAATAAAAACCTTCTTTCTATTGGTTTAGTAGAGTTTGTTGGGGAGAAGGAAAACTATGTTATATGTTCAGTCTCTCATTTTTCACACGTATCCCTCCTTCCATGCCTTGCTCATGCTCTCCTGTATAGTTTATTCTGCCACCTGAGGTGCTGGACCTCTCTCTCACATTAACCCTTCAGTGCTGTGCTCAGGTGGTATGTTCTCTAAATGCCATGGCCTGTGCCTAAACAAATTCACTCCTCCTCCCCCTGTTCTAATCCTTGTACTTTGCCTGATCTATGTAATAGTACATGAGGATTACAATTATTAGATTACATGTCAGTCTCCTTTAGTGGTTATATATAGTAATTATAATCAGATGATTAAATTATTGTTTCAGTAGAGGTCATACTTTGATAAAAGATAGGACCGACATTTAATAACCATAGCAAAAGCACAGCATAACTAACTGTGACTTGTTTTAATGTTAAAGTCATATTATATAAAAATACAAATGGAAGTTTATAAAATTTTAAGAAGATTGAATCTCTTTAGTAGCTTACTAACAATGTTAAATATTAAGTATTCTTTACAAACAGTGATAGTACAAAGATAAACAGTAGCCTCTCTCTCTCTGATTGACTAAAAGTTTAGTTGTCAATTTCAAAACCAAAGTTATTTTGGAATAATTTATTGTAAGAATTCAAATAATTCTTAAATATCAACGTACCACATTTACTCTTTGATTGCAATGAAATTTAAATCAAGGTTGTACCAGGAGGTCAGACCAACCCATGTATATGAATCATATTCAAGTATCTTTTTGGTAGTGCTAAAAATATCTTTCTGACTTTATTCTTTTAAAAAATATATTTTTTATTGATTTTTAGAGAAAGAGGGATAGAGAGATAGAAACATTGAAGAGAGAGGAACATCATCATCGATTGGCTGTCTCCTGCATGCCCCCTAATGGGGATCAAGCCCACAACCTGGGCATGTGCCCTGACTGGGAATCAAACCTCTGACCTCTTGTTCCTGGGTCTATGCTCAACTGCTGAACCACACCAGCTGGGCTCTGACTTTATTTAATTCTGTGAAGAGAAGTGTTTGATTATGTCCTCAGGAAATATTATAGAATATGCATTTAAGTATAAGGCTCTGATGATACCCAGTATAGACAGAAACTTATTTTTTCTTTAATTGGGAAATGTGTGAACTTAAAGCATTTTGAATTAAAAATACAGTCTGATCTAGCATAACCATATAAAAATAAGTAACCACTTTATAGATAGGACCTTTTGGAATATTTTATTGTCTATTCTTAAATGTGCAGTTCTACTTATAATCAAAACAATAATATAAATACAGAGATTGCTGATGACACATAATGTTGATTTTCAACTGGTTAAATCTTGTGGTGCTGGTAGAATCTGTAGAAACCCTTAAAATTATAAAATATCAGAGTTAGAAGGGAATGTAGAGTCCCTCAAATCCAAATTTCTGGTTAATTTACTTCCAAAGAGCCTGAAATAGGAATAGCTTGAGGTACTATTCGTGAATACGTACTTATCTAGTGACTAGATATACTTCTCTAACTAAAATTATCTTTTTCATGGATTTAACAGTTGTGGTGAATATATGTAGATGTATGAGACAAATACCATCCTAATACTGTCATGGTATTTTTCATACATAGATCAGCTGTATATTTAAACAGCCTTTCATTTTAAATAATCTATAGAAAAGTGGCCTTTGCATAAAGTATAACTTGCCACAGATCATAATTTATTCCATTGGTGATTCCAAATTGCAAGCATTTTATTTTTGTGATCCACATTATGTTCCAAAATAAAAAACATACAAGAGAGGGTCTTCAAAAATTATTATTTATTGTGATCCTATTTATGACCATAAAATTCTGTAGGAAAGAAACAACCAAAAGATTTAAAAGAACAAATATACTGGTGGTGAAATGTTTAATGTGTTTTGGTACTTGGCATACGTAACACTTCATAATTGTCATTCATCAGACCTATTCTAATCTGTTATTGTTGGTTTTTAACCAATGAGTGTGTTTACAGTTTAACTAGGCTTTATCTAGAATCATTACTTTAGAGGAGTGAATTGTAGACACAGTTGGAACATACTGCAAGAAGCTGCACAGATTTATTTCAGACATGAGCCATAAAGAGGTTGAGCTATGTAATTATGCTCAAAGCAAAAGAACTGCTCTATGATCTGTGAAAGCTTATATGGCAAATAAAATTAGAACTGGTGAAGTTTCTATGACTATGCAGAAAACTCAGTTTTAATTCTAAATAAATTTTACATTAATTTTGTCTAGCACCGTTGGGATTCACCAGTGATTATAGTTAGGAAGCCAATTAGAGAATGCTGCAACATCTGATTTTAAAATTGATTAAAATATTTTTATTAATTTCATAGAGGAAGGGAGAGGGAGAGAGAGATAGAAACATCAGTGGTGAGAGAGAATCATAAATCGGCTGCCTCCTGCACACCCACTACTGGGGATCGAGCCCACAACCTGGGCATGTGCCCTTGTCCAGAATCAAACCAGGGACCCTTCAGTCCACAGGCCAGCGCTCTATCCACTGAGCCAAACCAGCTAGGGCTAAAATTGATATTAACTGTTAATTTTTCAAATTGAAAATTAAAACATTAAATTCCAAATGTATCATAAACATCATTACCAACACCATTATCAATAAGTGCTTACTATATGCCCACTCTGGGTAGAGGGGATCAGTAATAGATTTTAGAGCCCTAAGAGTAATTAGGTAGAAGAATCTAATAACACTTAGTACTCTTTTATCTCATATAGTAAAACAGATAAGGAAACAGATGTACAAAATAATTTTTCTAAAGTAATTCAGCTAGTAAACAGGTTGAGGTGGAATGCACATAAGAATCCAAATCCCACGCTCTTATTTATTGCATCACCAAATTAAGTCACAGAATCTTCTTTTCAGAGTTTCACGAATATATTAAAATATTGATGTCAATTGCCTGAGACTTTCACCTCATATGCAAGGATGGAATCCGACAACCACAGGTTCCCTCTTTGTACCATTTAAACTGTTGTATAATGATTTCAAGATGTGAATAAAGATTGGAGGCTTAGACATTGGCAGGATCTGTTTGAGGATTGATTACTCAAGGACATTTGTTACTTCTTTTAGGAACAGCATCTGTTGCAGTCGCAGGTATCCTTGCAGCTCTTCGAATAACCAAGAACAAACTGTCTGATCAAACAATACTATTCCAAGGAGCTGGAGAGGTACCTGCCTTATAGAATACTTACGTTCTCCTAAACTAATGAACATAGAATTCATTTTAAATATTCATTAACTTGAAATTTGAGGTATTCTTTCAAATTTCTAGTATATTGTAAATATAGGTTTTATTGAAAGAGTCACAATTTTACATTCATTTTGAGGCCTATTAATTTTTCATAGGAGGCTTTAGCGGTATAGAGATATTTTTTACAGTTTTACAGTGATAAGTTTATCAGATGTTGCCATAGGTTTTTATAATGCATATTTAAGGTGCCATGCAATAACAAAAGTTTCAAATGTATGCTTATATAGAAAAGCCTTTAAGAAATAGTTAAGGTATGCTACCTGATGTTGACTTTTATATCCTCCAGTGTCATAAAAGTTTTCTTAATTTCACTCACAACTCAATGTTTACACATATAACTATATCCAAGTTTTTAAGAAAAAGGTATTTGAGAGACTCATTGTTCACTGTTACAACTGTTCTCACAAAAAAGAACCAAAATATCTTATACTTTTGGAAGGAGATAGCAGCAAGACAGAATTATGCTGTTTTCTGTTATCTTTTTCTATAAATTTGTCATTTGAAAGAAAACTAGACACTAGCAATAATAATTCACCCACAAAATAGAAATTAAAATGTTAGTTGAGTTGAGCTTCTTGTGAGAAAACTGCCAAAATCTGTTCAGAATTATAGAATGTAATAAACAGAGAAATGCTTTGTGGCTGTACCATATATATTTTAAGAAGCTTTAAATTTACAAATTTAATAAGATTATGACTAAATACATTACACTCATAGAAATTTTGTATATTATGTTGGTTTTGATTTTACTTGTTCTCAAAACAAAATATACAAATCTAGAACTTAGATGCCAAGATATAGATGTGAAATATTCAGAATGTAAATCACAAATTTGTTTTCACATTGAAATAAAAATCAAGGCAAATAAGAGTTCATTAACATTTGAGTTTTTTATTTCCGTGGATTGTACCATGCTATACTTCATTTTAGTAAACTTCTTTTGAATTTCCAAAGGATTTTGTTGAGTGGCACAGGCCAGCTTTTGACACTCAGTAGGACAGAAGTATTAATGGCTGGATGACTCAAAACTGTCACTCAGTTGTGCCTGATAAGGTTTTGGAAATTTCACAGATTATGACAGAGTTTATCAAATACCAAAGAAGTTCATTCCTTTAATCTTGCAAGAAAATTCACAGTGCTTTTTTGGTCCAAATTAAAAGGGTAAATAAATGCTTGGGAACACAGATTTCCTGTGTTTCATTTTATTGCCTAATTGGTTAAGTTCCCATCCAAATGACCTGGCTTCCTCCTTCGAATTCAGTTAGAGGAGCTTGAACCCAACAATAAACAATACATAGTCCAATAAGCAAGGCTGACTAGTTCGTTATTTTAAATTCAATATTTTCTTATTAGCGCGAATCTTAATTGTATTAACATGATTAAGGTTACTGACAATCAAGGATATTACTGGTTTATTTGTGGCTAAATAGGAAGCTACATAATAGTGGTTCTGTTGTGATAAGAATGAATAATTGTCATTCATTTTAACCCAAATGTGACAAAAATACTTTGCTCCCAGTACAAATGAATAGCTCTTTAGGCCAACAGACAGGGCCATTTTGTACTTCCTTATTAACAAGAACAAAATGCAGTGAAATGTAACCTGATAAGATATAATGTGGAACAACTTAAAAATTTTTTGTTTTTATAACCTTTTCTCAGGCTGCCTTAGGGATTGCAAACCTGATTGTAATGGCCATGGAGAAAGAAGGTTTACCAAAGGAGAAAGCCATAAAAAAGATATGGATGGTTGACTCTAAAGGATTGATAGTTAAGGTAAGAATTTGTCATTTTAACCAGAAGAAAAATCTATCTGCCATTCTGGATGCCCATCCCAAAGACTACTACTATTTTCATTTATGCCACCCCCAACACTGTGTTAAAAGAGTAGCCCTTACATATGAATGACCATGTCGTACAGCAATACTGATACTCTTCTGAATAAAGAAGAAAAATACGGCTCAGCTAGAGGATCTGTCAGGGAGGTGATGTGAATAGGCTCTACAGGTCAGTCCACTTGAATAAGGTAAGTTTCTAGGTGAGGCAATTTGATACTGGTACAGATGAAACTCCTAGGTGTAACTCCTTTTATTAAAGGCTATCTGTCTAACTGCATACTAGATAGAAAGAAAGGAGGAAAAAATAAATAAATAGCTACTCTTTTACCTGCTGCTTTCTCTCAACCAAATTCTTAGTGTTTGAATGGGAATTCCTGTGGAGGGCTTTAATAAACGGCCTGTTTTAACGTTAACTTACTTGAGGTTCAGTTTCCCTAGCTTTAATAAAGATAATAGTCCCACTTCATAAGGTCATGGTAGAAGTAAGTAAGACTAGGTAAGTAACCATGTTGCTGCAAAGTTGTAAGACATCATTCATTATTACTTCTACCATTTGGGCACATCAATCATACTTTCTTAAACTATTGGAAAAAATAATGTAAATCCCCTTTCCACATGAAGATGAATTTTAAAAATAAACATAAGCATTGTATTTGGTAATTTAATATATAAGCAAATGTGAATGTGTACAAACTTTCTGGAAAACTGTTTTATATGTATCATGAGCTTTTAAAAGTTCATGCTTCTGATCTAATAATTTCCATTCTTTTTCTAAATATGTTTTTAGAGGAAGGGAGAGGGAGAGAGGGATAGTAACATCAATGATCAGAGAGAATCATTGATTGGCTGCCTCCTGCATGCCCCCCACTGGGGATTGAGCCCGTAACCCAGGCATGTGCCCTAACTATGACCTCCTGTTCATGGGTGGATGCTCAACCACTGAGTAACACTGGCCGGGCCATTAATTTCCATTCTAAGACTCTATCCCATAGAGTTAGAGATGTGTATAATGTTTTCTATGAAGATATTATCACAACATTATTTACTAGAGGCCCGGTGCACAAAATTTGTGCACTCGGAGGGGGGTGTCCCTCAGCACGGACTGCACCCTCTCGCAGTCCAGGGCCCACAAGGGATGACCCTATGGGGAGTGGGCCTAAGCCATCAGTCGGATATCCTTAGTGCTGCTGCAGAGGCGGGAGAGGCTCCCACCACTGCTGCTGCACTAGCCAGCCATGAGCCTGGCTTCTAGCTGAGCGGCGTTCCCCCTGTGGGAGCACACTGACCACCAGGGGACAGCTCCTGCATTGAGCATCTGCCCCCTGGTAGTCAGTGCATGTCATAGAGACTGGTCGTTCTGCTGTTTGGTCGATTTGCATATTAGCCTTTTATTTATAGGATAATAGTGATACACTTCATCTTACATTAATTATAATAATGATCTGTTATACTTAAATAAAGAATAATTTGCAATAAATTTTGGAATAGTCACATGAGTATAACATACAAGCTTAAAATGGTTCTCAAAGACTTATAAATAACATTAAAGGATTTATAATATAACATTAGGTGAAAAAAGGAAAACACCATCTTATATATAACTATTTTGTTTAAAAATTGAGTTAAATATAAAAGTCATAAAAGGAAATACATCAAATACATATTACTTTAAAACTAACATTATTTTTATTTCTGTATATTCTATATGTTATGTCTTTTGTATATTCTAAATTCTACTTAGTAATTGTATTCCTTTAAAGTTAGAAAAGTTAAAGAGCAGGTTGACAGCTATCTGGGCTGGAGGCTGGGTGGATGGAGTGGAGGGATTGAGGAAAAAAGGAAAAAAAGAGAAAAAACTCAAGGACACAGTAGTATGGTGATTTCAGGGTTGGGGTAGAGGAGGTAAAGGGGGTGTAAATGGTGAGGGATGGAGACTTGACTTGGGTGGTGAACACACAATAGAGTGAACAGATGTATTGTATAATTATGCACTTGAAACCTGTATAATTTTGTTAACCAGTATCACCACAATAAGTTCAATAAAAGGGGGGAGGGATAAAGCTAGAAAAAAGTTTGTTTTTAAAAATCAGTATAGACAGACAAATTTTACCTCAGAAGAGAAAGTATATGCATAACATTTTTAAAAAATGTTATTCTTTAAGGTATTACAAATAGCAGTACATATGTCTCTTTTATGAGAACCTATAAAGCAATGAAACAAGATAGAAATCACTTTGACAGCATCTTCTGAGAATCAAATAATAATCATTTTATTAATTTTCTAAAATTGCAAGTTAATTGTTTAAAATAAAAATTTATAACAAAATTTTCAATTTCTTGGCTTAAACATTGCTGTTCTTTGAATAATTAGTATAACTATAAAAAATTGTACACTGTGGTCGAATGAAAAATACTGTAGTCATGAAAGAATATTTACTGAATGAAATCGCCTATGGATCAGGCATTATATTAGCCTTGGGGGACACAAGAAGGCCCTGCATCTCAGGAGGCCCACAGCCTAGTAGGGAAAACTCAAACGAGTCAGGAGTTACAATTCTACATGGAAATGTTATAGAAATACGTCCTTGATGTCAGAGATGCACATAGATGTCACTTCCAGCTTCACTAAAGAGCTTAGTAGGAATACTGAGGAAAATTCCGAGACAAGATGTCTCTTCATCTAACTTTGAAAGGAAGAATTAGGAGTTTACCTGGAGTTTCCATAGACATCTTAAACTTCTTCTATCCAAAACTGAGGCAAAAGAAGTAGAAGGGCAAGTTCACTTTCAGATCTTGATTGAAAATAAGGATCATGTCTTTCATCTCTTTATATCTTCAAAGCCCTACATAGTGTCTATAATTCATAATAAATATTTTGTTAATAAATGAATTAATTAATGAATGGCCTTCCAGGCAGAAGGGCAGCATTTTCCAGCAACTGAAGAAACGTATGCAGAGGAGATTTGCCTCTGGTCACTCTGATGGCATTGTGGAGGGTGGATTGAAATGAGGTGAAAATGAGGGAAGGAAACACATTATAAAGCTGTTGCAATAATACTGATAAAAATTAATTGGGTCTGAAATAAAGCAGTAACTCTGGGGGTGAGTGAAAAAGTTTGATGCAGTAGAATTTAAGAAATAGGTCCATGACCTGTGTGGCTCAGTTGGTTGAGCATTGTCTCATGCAGTAGAAGACCGCTGATTGATTCCCTTCCTCTCTCTCTAAAACCAATTTTTTTTAAAAAAAGAAATAGCATTATTAGCATATATAGGAACCGATTAAATATGGAGGGAGGAGTAGGATAGAATAGAGGAAGGAATCTAGCAGGATTCCTTGGTAAGTGATGCAGCCATATGTAGAAAAGGAATAAAGAATGGACCAGCTTAAGGGAAAGAGAATGAGATCGGTTTTGGACATAGCAAGTTTAAGGTGCCTGTGAAGGCATTAGACAGAGATGTCCCCTTGGCAATCGGAGATAAAAGAATAAGGCTCAGGTTGAAGGTCTGGGCTCCTGGAGATGGAGATTTGGGGATCATCTGCATGTAAATAGTTGGAGCCATGGAAAAAGCTATACAAGTTATGCTGTGCTTAAGGATGTAATACATTCAAGAATCCAAACAAAAGTGAAAGTCTATAATTGTGGTTTTGTGATTTCTACTGACTTTTTTATATGTGAAATCTTCATAAGATATATAGATTTTAGCATCTCAAATAATTTTAACATAGACTTACTGAACTGAGAGTTCAAATTCCATGGATTATAATATTTGGAATAACTGTGAAGTTGTTGCTAGACATAATCAGTCACTCTTACTTCATGCTTTTGCTTGCCAAAATAAAGAACTGCATATATTCCGCTTGCCAAGGTAAATAAAGTTACATTTAAAAGGCTGTTATATATTTAATAGCTTGTGCAGTATTTCATATAAAAGAAATAAAAGAAGCTTCAGTTAACTGCTTTTTCTTTTGTGTTTTTAAAAATCAAAATTATGTTAGTTTTTTGTGTGGAACTAATAAATCTTAGAATAACTAGTAAATCAGTATAATTTTTTTTTCAAACCTACATGATTTTTTTGTGTTTGTTATCCTTTATCCTTAATATTTTTACAACCTCTCCTGAGAACCAATAATAATCGTTTTACTAATTTTATTAACTTGCAGTGTAATTGTTTGTACTTTATAAAAATATCATAAAGTTTTAAATAAAAATGTTTATTAGTCAAACTCCTTAACTCTTTTTTTAAAAAAATATATTTTATTGATTTTTCACAGAGAGGAAGAGAGAGGGATAGAGAGTTAAAAACATCGATCAGCAGCCTCTTGCACACCTCCTACTGGGGATGTGCCCGCAACCAAGGTACATGCCCTTGGCCGGAATCGAACCTGGGACCTTTCAGTCCGCAGGCCGACGCTCTATCCACTGAGCCAAAACGGTCAGGGCTCCTTAACTCTTTAAAGACATAAAACCAAAACTAGTAAACTGTAAGGTTAGCTCATTTATGGAGTTATAGCATCATCAGACTAGATAAGTATTATCCTGACATGTTTTCTCTTTTCATTTTCAACATCATATCTATAGCATTGTCTATCATTTACCTCCTATCCACATGTACAGTGGAATGAGTTTATGCTATAAATATCAATATTTTAAATAATTCATCAATATCAATAAAGTTGATTGAAATGGATTATATGGTCACTGATAATATTTAAATACATTAGGTTAGTATTTCAAAGCAAGAAATATTGACATATCTATTTAGCCAGGTAATATTAATGGACTTTAATATAAAGAAGCTGAGAGTTGGTTTAAAAGAAATCCTTCCAAAATAAAAATTAGAGAGAGAATAAATACAGTGACGGAATGAAAAGGGAGCATGCCAGCATGACTGATACTTGCATTTCACAATGATAATCTGGTGCACTTTCAGAGGGGA